TTGCATGATTTGTTATACTATTGTTTATTCGTCGAATTCTGGAAAGAAAATCTTATGTAGGTTTGCTGGTTATTGAAGTTATAAAATGCCTTCATAAATTCCACATCAATGATTTCTGCAAACACACAATTTGTGCTATCTTTGAATCCGTGGATCACAAAGCATCTTGTGACCATTCGCTTGAATTCTGCGGATTTTGGGCACAAGCGTTTGGCTAGCTTTTGCACCAAGTCTAGCGACATAATTAGTTTGCTGAGATCTTGTTGGCTTAAACTTTAATCGCTACTTACTATTGCCGGTTCCGACATTCGACGTTCTCTTTCAGGTGTGGCGCTGCTATATTTTAGCATCCAGGGATGGCGTTCTGTCCATTTTTCATTGAAACGCACTGGATCTTCTGGAAATTCGGGCAACATCATTTCAAACGACGGCGACTGTAACTCATCAATGCCGGGAATGGCAATGAAATCTAAGGGTCTCGAAATTTGTTCTTCTGTACAAATGTGACATTAGTGAACGGCCCAAAGTCTTTGGTAAATTCAATCACTGGCTGATCATTTGTCTTAAAAAAGAATATAAATTGGCGGGTTAAATAAGGCCTTACTTGTAAATGTGACAGCATTGAAAGTGTAGATCTTGCATTGCAACAATTTCATTTAGATTGTCAATTCCACTGATGTCGATTTTGAATTTCTGTTTCCAGTCGATCACCTTTTTAGGTGTACCGATTACAACATGGTCGTCTGGGCCGCTTGCTGTATTTAATTGAATGGCCCCCGCAATTTTTGTCGCCATTTCAAAAACAGCCTTCGCCAATTCGTCATTTGGCACAATGTACAGAATTTGTGTGCCATGTTTCGATGCATCAATTTTTTGCAATATCGCGATTATCGAACGGCACTAATTCCATGTACATTGCGCGGAGTTTCCTCCAACAATGTCGGCAGGATCATCTTCTATATATGTATGAATAAAAATTGGACGTTTTTTTTGTTTATATTTTGTGCGATCATTCACTTCAACGCTGCAAGAGAAATTCTGCAACAATTTCATACAATCGTCACTACAACAGATCAGTTGACACTTGTTTTGATGGACCAAATGTCAACTGCGCTATTGTAGTGACTAACTATAAAAATACCAATAGATATTTTAACACCCATTGTCAAATTCAGTGTTTGTCATTTGGCTTGCTACAAGCAGCTTGCTTGCCTGCGTCGCCTATCATGCGTCAAACAAGCAAACATGCGGACACATATACGGCAAACGAACCATAGGTTTTCGTTCGTGCGACCAATACATCTACACAGATACACAGGATACAACGTGTTCGCGGAACTGTGTACCGCATCTTGAACGAACGAAAACCGTGTAATACCTATGGTTCGTTTGCCGTATATGTGTCCGCATGTTTGCTTGTTTGCCGTACGATAGGCGACGCAGGCAAGCAAGCTGCTTGTAGCAAGCCAAATGACAAACACTGGTTAAATTTGCAATATATACCAATACATTTAAACATTTGATACGTATCATTTTTCATCCCTACTCCTGCAAAATTTCTCTGCAGCGTTGAAGCGAATGGTCGCACAAAATATAAACAAAAAAAAACAATTCTACTACTACTGTTTTGAGTGTGTATCATTTTTCATTCATACTCCTGCAAATCAATTGCTTTCTGATTAGTTCAAAATATAGCCGAATAATTTTAGAATAATTAGTAATATTTGTTTGTACAATTTTCTTAAATGTATATACATTATACGGGCCAAAAAATGACCTCACAGTAAACCCAATTCGGGCCGAAAAGTGACCTCACTATGCCCTTTGGGAGGGGTTGGATTAGCATTTTTATGCGGTATTCAATATACTATTTCCATGTTGAATTACCTGGTGATTAGATTGCTTTATTTTTCGTGAATTTTGCAGAATTATATCGCCACTAAGCGATAGCGAGAAAAATAGTCATATCTATCCCATAAAGGTGGCATGTATAAGATTCTTCTTTTTACCGTTTTACTCCATTTCACAGATACATTTTTCAAATATTTACATATCATTGGATTCTACTCTTAATTACCATTCCAACGATGCATAAAACGTCACATATTTTTTTTACACTATTGAAAGAGGTAATGTCCAATGCCTTTATAAAGTCCCCAACGCAGTTTCTTACACTCTTTTACTCACACACAAACAAAACGAAATGTCAAAAAATAGCTGTTCGACCGAACCATTCATAACCAACTTCAAGCCACTAGTAGATTCGGAATGAAAATAATGTTTGAAAATTCTATGATATTTCGAAAAATGAACTAATTATTTTGGAATTTTTTAATCTGGTTTAGAATAAAATAAATTTTTAAACATTTTTTGTACTAACAATATTTTAATAAACATTCACTTATTATTTAATTTTCACAATTTCCATCAATTCACAAAATTTAATTCATAGCACTAGCATGAAGTTGGTTATATGTCAACCTTTATTCATTCGTATAAAAACATATTATGTTCACGCACACATAAATGTTGGGGAGTTTTGACAATTCCTCTTTCCTGGAGGGTCCTTTTTGGAATGATGTTGAAAATTTCGGTTTTGTCATAATCATGCCATCGAAATCCCTTCAGAAAATTCATGGATCTGAAATTTGATGATACCATCTTATTCTACGTTTCAATACCTTTCCAACTGTCTATCATACGTCTGTTACCCACCTGTTCCGTTTGACCGGTTCCATTGTGAGGGAACTTTTCATGGAAAAAATCAAAATTTCGACTTATTCACATTCATGACACCAAAATCGACTCAAAGAATGTGGGTTTGGTAAATTTGACTTTCCCATTCGATTCTACTCATAAATACCTTTCAAACGGTGTATCAAACACCACCATGGTAATTATTCTGGTCAAAGTTTTAAAAAAAATCTTAATTTTTTAATTTTAACTTTAAATTTCTGTAAATAGTAAAATCCACTGGTTTTCATTCCGATTAGTATTTAAGATCGTTTCCGTTTAAATGTTGATGAGAAGCAGCACACGCAAACAAAATAGAAAGGCCAAGTTCAATAGTTCCGGTAATAATATGTTTTGGTTTTTATAATCCTCAAATTAACTTTAGGTCGAATTCTGATATCAAGCCGACATAATTGTTAAACCACCAACAAACGCACCGTGCACACAGAGCATTTGTTGTACAGCTCGTGTTGCTGTGAGCGATAGCTGCGTATGAGTCGAGAGTCACTGATTTATTATCCACTCAAAGCTGCTCAACAACTCCCATTTTATGTATTTTTGACGAGCGTTCAAAATGTCGCGAGAAACATACAGCTAACAGGCTAAGCCGACACTAATAGACTAATTTTGAATGATGGTAAATATCCAGAGATGGGACTTGTTATGACGTTAGAGCACAGCTTATGAAGTCTTTCTGCATTTTCCGTTTTTCCCTGCACGTCCAGTTTTGTTTGGACCTTTTGGAAAAATCGATCATTTTTAATCATTATCATTGAAAATGTCTTTTCAAGCGTCAACTGCTTTACAAGGTGAAGTTTAATCTAATCACATACTCTTAATATTTGTGGTTGAAAACGGATCCGAAAAAGCGAATAAAATCATTTTATGATATACAGATTCCCGCAGAACTGTTCAATTTTGATCCGTCAGTGATTTCTCTTTTTTGTGGTTTTTGACGTGTTCCGTGTTTTATGCATAAAATGAATCATTTCTGAAATTCACAATAAATGACTTCATTGCACTGTGGCTTTTACGCTTGATAAGCTCATCATTACGATGAATTCAATGCAAATTATTTTTTAAGTTCAGACATTAACGCAAAAACAACAACAAAGTAGCAAAACCAACACACCTATTTGCGCGAAACAATGAACGGAATAACAAAAACAAAACCGGTATGCGACACGCGAACATTTTTCGAATGAAAAAAATAAAACTGATGAATGCTGCTAGACAGTTTCGCTATCATAGCTAATGTAGTTTACTAGCTGCTAGATAAGTCGAGACGAAAGCGCGCGCATAATTTATCATAAAAAATGAGCGCGGTATACCGAACAGGTAGCTGCTGGTTTCGTTGTTGTCATCATCATAAGCGTGTGCACCATTCGGTTCTCGGATTTGTTTATACAACAAATGCTTGTGAATGGAAAAATGTTTTATTTACACGATACAGATTAAGTTGTTGAATGGGACAAGTTTTTTTTCTCTAAAATATTGATCATGGGCCCATTAAATTCAAAAGAGCTTAGCGGAAGAATCGATTATTGAATCGTGAATTTCTCAGTAAGCAAAGGTGTTTGATGTGATTTTTTGATAAAAATAGAATTTTCGTCAACATAACATTCTTCCCATGAAAATGATCAAATTAAACGTGCTTTGCGGTTGGCTGTCATCAAAAACTGAGTGACTTGTTTGTTCTAGGTCCCTCAGCTAACTAATGACAATTCGTGTTTGTTGACGACTCAAATTTTATTTAATAAATAGAGATTTTTTTGTCGTTCGTCCACTTCTTCATGCTTTCTCTTTTCCCCCTTTTTGAAAATAAAGCATACATTCGTTTGTGGTCAACGTTTGTTTTATTTAAACACATTATTTTTTTCGATGACAACAAACATATATAAATGCCAGTGATGACCAATACTCGCTCACCAAATTCGTTGTAATTGATCATCAGACTTTTTTTTATTATATGTGTGTGGTGGACGATATGCGTTTGTGCTGTGGCTGTGATGTGTGTTGATGCTATTGCCGTTGTTCGGTCGCCACTTAATGCTCATCGTTGCTTGTTATATTATTCTTGTTTAAATATGTGCTTTATTTGCATTTTTTCTCTCAGTCTTACGCACGTAAGCGGCGGTCGATTCATTTTCGGTTGGTAGTAGTTGTTATTAAACGGATCTCGCTCTTTACAACATTCTGTTTGTGTGCGGGCACTGGCAGTGATTTTTGTGATGCTCCAACATTTAGGTATATTTAACGTTGCAATGAATAACGTTATTTATTTTACGTGAAACTTGGAACACGAACTGACCAGATCACAGAACCACAACGCTCTGAAATAAAAGAGAAAAAACATTGTCGATACAAACGCGAAAGTTCTTTCTATTTATTCGTTACGTTGCATTGCTATTTGTGTGATTTGTGCAAATTTCCTTATCAAAAACCCTGAAGTATTGCGGTTTTTTTTTAATTTTCATTTAAACCGGAACTGAAAAAGCAACAATACAATTTTTAATTGAGTCGAAAAAATTACAATTGTTTGTTCTTATGTGAATTTGATAAAGAAAAATAAAATAAACGAAAGAAACAATGAAACTAACGACCATTTTACTACTAACCGCATCCATATTTTGCTCTTCGTTGGCCTATCCAGGTGAGTTTTTTTTGCGAACAAATCAAGTGTCTAAAATCAATGCAAATGGTTAAAGATAAAGTTTTAAGAAAACGAAGAACCACATGCAATGGTAAAGGTCAGAAAAAGCGATGGAAAATAAATTGAATTAAATAAAATTGCATTAAATGTAAATGGTGAATCTTGATAAAACTTTCAATTTATGAATTGATCAAGAAAAAAATGTGATATGTGTGGCCCAGCATGTGATTTCTCAATAAAACTCCAAATGGAAAATTTCAAAAATGTTCCATCGAGCAATTATTTGTGGAATCTTCTTCAATATTTCTGTTAAATGTCGCGGCTTTTATTTTTAAAAGCACAAACGTATTGAATAAACAAAAATACCTTAAAGTACGAAGCCTAGCATATTCCGAAATCACCTTACATCACACGCAATATGCGTTCTTCGTCTGTTTTTTTTCGTTATTCCATTGCAAATTTATCGTTTACATCTTCCAAATCGGTCTGTTCATCGGATGGCAATTAAAATTTAAAAGCTAATTAATAGTAATTAAAATACCTCATTTTCAGTCTGTTATAGTGAATAACTTAACTAGACACGGTACGTGAGGTGCAGCACAGCAAAAGGGAATTTCTGTTTTTATTGCCGCCACACATCTTTGGAAATGATAAAAATCTTCAGAAAAATGTGATGACATCGATTCCGATTCAAATCTTAAATTAAAAATATCTCATATGGACCTTCACCGTCCATTCGATTCAGATGGGTCAAAAATTGGAGCGTAAAACTGCATTGGCTCACGTAGTTGTTATAATATTTCGCAAATAAAAATAGCAAAGATTTTAATTGCGTTGCAGTGAGCCATTTGACGTATAGATCGTGATACATATTGTGACAATATGATTAAATTATGCATTTAAATTGTCCGAAGTTGCCAATCGTAGAGTTATTTTTTTTATTGGATTTGAAATAGATGCATATTGAATAAAGTGTCACACAATTTAATATGACGTTTAATTTTTATTAAAACAACGTGCGAATAGCGGCTTTATTATTCTCGTCGTAATTGTTTTGTTGTTTAAATAGTTGAAAAATTCAAAGTTAAATTAATTTAAATATTCCCATCAGGAATGCATCATAAAAAATAAATTCGCTGATCCCCAGGAATATAATTCATGTTACAAACTATTGAAAATTGACTTTCAACACCAGTTAAAATCAATTGTGAGATTTCCGGTCACACCGAAACCAACGAAACACTCGTCGAAAACAATGCAATCATGGCCGGTGTAGTCGACATTGTGATTTAAGCAAATGAGAAAGTGTCACAACACTTGATCATTTCACACGCAGATACTCGCTCGGAAAATTATCCTGCGTCAAAATTACTTTGTAAAATGTTCGTATATCATCGAGCTACTTTGCAAAAAGTCAAATAATTTTCTCAGACTTAATTATAAAGCAAATTTTTGTTTACAAACTACTCTTACATTTTCACTTTTCAACGTATGACGCAAGTGAAAACAATGGCACAACCACAAAACGAAACACATTCGCACGAAAAATGGAAATGGTTTAAAAAATATTTTGCATGAAATGAGCACAAGAACATGAGACGCTATAACCCTCCAAATTCTATTTGGCACGATGTGAGTCAGTTTTACATGAGATCACTTGCGTTGGCATCGGATCAAAATTTATATTCGGTGGGTGACTACGGTTTGGCACAGCTAAGTGTTACAATTGTAACTGCATATGATTGCACGGCCATTGTATATTGAATTTGATGCGTTTTTCCGCTGAAAATAGCAATTCCAAAAACAATAAACACTTTTCATTGTGCTTTTCATGCCACACAATTCGATTTATGATGCAATGAACTGTGCTTGGGTTTTTTTCTCTCTTCATAATAATTGTGACTAAATATATATTTTTGCATCAAATTGCATTTCGTGAGCAGTAGTTGTCAGTTGCTGAGCGGCTACTTGAGAATATGAAATGCGCGCGCATTGTTGCGCCAATAAAAGAGAAACGTGATCAAAACCAAAAAGGTATATTACAGTCAATTGACGTATGGCAACAATATCACATTCGAAGGAATTCAATAGCTTCAATGTTACCGATGATAGATGCTTAGACATGGTATTGAGGAGGTAGATTACCCCCCTGGCCTCTCGAAACCCCCCTGTAAAAATTGGGAACAGTCCAACTAAATATTGTTACCTTTGAAAAGTGAAAAAAATGTTCTTATGAAAATGAACGTGCTTGCACGACAAAATATATTTCGGCGACCACACGTAGACTAAACTGTTTAAAGTAAATAATCAAAACAAGTGAAGAAGAAAGAAATGGATAAAATGATTATTTTGCGTTTTCGTATTATCTGTGTTTATTCAGGCGATACTGATGAATTGAATCCTTTTAAAAACATTAAACTGAAACATTTATATGATATTTCTTTATTTCTTTAATTGAATCGCGTTAATGGCGAGCGAAATAAGTTGAATCACCTTAATGAAACAAATAAAACTACCTCCCAAAAATTTTAAAATGTACCCCCCTTAATTTCCAAGTCTGAGTTTCAATGTTATCGATGCTGCGATTCAGTTTAAATTCAATTGAAATTGATACGTCAATCAAACACTTATATGTTGATGGCATAGAATCGCTTAGCACTAAATCATATGTGTGTTTAAAATGACGAGAGAGAGAGAGAGAGAGAGAGACGCACATAGAGAAAAGCGTCGGTTGCAAGCAATGTCATCACCATTTCCTTGACCAATTGACCGTTTGTACTCTTCTAAAAGCATCGGTTGGTGAATCGAACTTTTTCATTCGTATTCTCAACCGTAAAAACCGTAAGAAATTAATTAACATACCAGCACCATTTTTTCCCCGCATTGCATAGAACGATTACAATTTTGTGAAACAAAAAAATATTTTTACGTCAAGGAATGCGCATTTAGTGGGAAAAATTAACGTAATCAACATTTTTTTTACTGCCACTAATTCATTTAAATAATATGTTGTTTGATTTGTTTTTGCTGCGAATTTTCAATGAATTTCGCAGCGTTGGGAGACACACAAAATTTTCGCAAATAAAAAAGGTTTTCTTCGCTGCATCGAAAGATGAGCATGTCAATCGGCAGTCCAAATTTGTACAGACTCAACTGGAAATGACCGTAAATGTGCATGTCTACAAATAATTGCGGTCAGAATAAAGACATTCAGTAATTTTATTGCGTGACGATCGATTTGAAAAACATGCATGATTGTACAATGTGCAATCATTTGTATTGCGCACGAACCTAATTGAATTTTGTAAATAGTTTATGAGATTTTTGTGTGTGTGCTTTTCAGCCGGTGGCAATCCAGATAATGATGTTGAATTGATCAGCGGTGGGTCTCAACCCGGATATCAACCTACACCATCAATCCCATCCGTTCCATCCGTTCCATCCGTACCACTTGTTCCAAACATTCCAACAACATTCGCGGTTCCCCTTTATCCTTCCTATCCTTACCCATCCTATCCCACATACACTCCATCCTACTTCCCACTCGGTTGGACTTATAACGTCTTTGATGGATTCTCAAGTGAGTACAAAGCGGCTAAACATTTCAAACTTTGTGGTGATACATTTTGTTCACTTTTTCGCAATAGATATCTTCCATCAAATTCGTAATACAGCATCGAACGCATGGTCGAGAGTACCATCGATGCAACCAATAATTAAAAATTACTGGCCTGATGTTAAAACTAACGGTTCAACCACTTCGACCGTAAAGGTAATAAACGAACGATTGTTCAACTTGAATCGTGATTGAAATGCGTAATATATGCGGTTTTTTTTTCACAGGTTGTTGGCGATCATAAATTTATCATCAATGAAACAGTGCACGTTCAACAAAGTGATTTTGGTCATATTATTTTCAAAGTACGAACGGTAGACATTAAACCAGCCGAACCAAATGACGAAACAACCGAAGGTGTCGTCGATAATGACACAACAATTTATCCGAATGTTGATATCGATACCACATACAGACCAACCGAAATTGAAGAAGATGACGAACGACCGAATGTTGAAGATACAGGTGATATTGATGGCAATAGTGTTGGTACACCCGAATTACTTGATAATACCAACGAAATTTTAACGCTAAACAATCTTGAACATTTTGAGGTAAAAAAATAATGACATCAAATCAGAACAAAAATTGCGTGAAACATTTTTTTATTTGTAAATAAATAAACATTGATCATGTACATACATACTTAATATACACACTCATAAAATAGCCTGTGCAAATGCTGATATAAGCTTTGATAAAAGGTTTGCTCTCTCAAACTTTAATGATCTTTACTATACAATCGCATGCTTTTATTAATTTGCTTTGATATTAAATAAAAATCAAATATATTTTTTTATGATTGGGTTTTAATTTCATTCCAAATGAATATTGCTTTGCTTAGTTACCTGCTTATTGGATAAAGTGCTTTGTAAATGTTGGCTTTTATTGAATTAGAAGTGGCTATATTTTTAAGTCATTTGTAAATATTTCTTCCTTAACTGCTTTAAGGTAAGCTGCTGCTTTCTGTTAATATTTCGCAACCTATACTTTGGCATGATTTTCTTCTGCTTGAATTTTGCTTGCTAAAAATGCTATATACATTTTGAACTTTGTTGAATTTTAGAGTTAAGCTTACAAAAAAGATTGTTAGGTTTACTGAAAATATTTTTCCCCAACCAACTTCTTCCAAAAGTTCTGGAATTGTTTACGAAAAAAATCACGAATTTTTGGGAAAATTTTCGATCGGGAAAAAAATATTTTTGTCATTCCAAAACTTTCGGCATTCCAAAAAATGCACTGTTCTCATAGATATTCGACTAATTTTCAGCCTGAAGAGGCACCAGATTCTGCCGAAGATACAAATGATATAAGAAAGCAGTCGTTGACAGTGCGAAAATCGGAGAACATCGAATTTGATTTGCCATCTGAAATGATCATCAGTTCGGAGGAGAGTAATGATAAAATGTCCCATTTGAATATCGATCAAAAAGGCGTGAGTAATGAATGGGCCGAAGTGGAGCTCGATAATTCGGATGAACAAAAAAAAAACTTATTACCAGATAAATAGCAACGAAAACACCATTGAACAAGTGGAAGACGCTACTGTTGATTTAACAAATGATATTGCAATAAATCAAATGTTGGCCGATCAAGGTGCAGCATATAATCCAGATGCAGAATTTTTCGACGTGAGTCAATATCAACCAGAAGGAGATGCCTCCTCACAAGTGCACAAAGAACCACAACAAGAATCTTTTGATTACTTACCATATCCACACCATCAAACTTCTTCTGACAAACGATCGACCATCAAATAAATTGAATCTGATGACTAATCTATTTTCATTAGAGGCAAAAATGCTAGATTTAGACTCTATTCATTAAGTTTATTTATTTACTTTTGGGCAATAATATTGCGTGCTCGGCTGAACACTTTCGTCGGTAGTTTGTTTGCATTTTCAATAACCATGTATACAATAAGTTGAAAAAAAGTCTGCTCAAAATTGATATCGCGTGCAACGAAATTCGTTGAAGTAACTCAGAGAAGAAAAAAAAAATAAACAACGAACAATTTTTTGTTTTCAATTTTGATGCATTTTATTTTTAAACAAAACCATTTTTTGTATCTTTAAGTCATAGCCAAAATGTGTGCCACAATTTTTAAACAAATTATATTTAATAACACTTTTTATCGATTACGTGGAACATTCACTTGTCTCTGCAATTCTTGGAATGCATTTGTGACACTGGCCTGAATCGATCTACCTAAGTCTGTATCAATTTTAGATTTTTAAAAAAACATTCATTATAAGTTAATGTGAATAAAAAAATATTATACACAAGCGCACCTGTGGATTTTCTTAAGAGGTCACTGAATGTCCCATCTTTCGCGGGAAATGTACTTGTAACACCGTCCAATAATCCTGGACTTGCAACAGCCTGATCAACGATCACACAAATACAAACGACCAAAAGTGCGTAGATAACAAACTTCATGTCTACCAGTGATTTTTGAACAAAATTTACAAAATGACTGATGCCTCTCGTCTGATTTGATGCTACTTTTATATAGGTTCCAATCAAAAAATTATCTTTAATTGGTATTTTTTTGCAAAAAGTTTTTGCTCAAATCCATTCAGAACAATCCATTTGGGCAAAGCTTTGATTTTAATTGAATTACGCCAATTAGAATTCCTAACATATTAACAGATTGCGCGGAAATAGCAATCGAACAATGCAATGACCGACCACGAAATGTTTGTTAATTAACAAATGAAATTAAAATATTTGTTTAATCATAATAAAAAAAATCGGGATTTATTTTCAAACATATTCGTTCCTATCGTGAAATTCGGAAATGGATCGATTTTTTACTGAATATATTTGAGGAAATATCAACTAAAAATAAATTCATATTTTGATTTTTTCTGAAAACCGGGCACTGATTTATCCTTAAATTCTGCGGTGTTCGTGAGTTCAGGCTTCACTATTAAAATTACATGTATGTTCAAGATATCAGGCATGGCTGCAAAATTTGAGATTTTCTCAACTGATGGTCGCAAAGTCATAATCTATTTTGAGAATTTTGTATTTAAAAAATCAAATTGAAAGTTTCAAACAAAATTGGATTGCAAACTGGATTTTTTCCCTATTTATTTACTATTGGTAAAACTCGATAAACTCATTATGATATTATTATCCAATGTCATAAATTGTATTCCATTTGATGAATGGCAAATAGTCTGAATTAAGAAATGAAATTAAATGTTGAGAATTTAAAAACGCCGTACTCATGGTAAGAAGTTTTTGAATTCCACAATTATAACAAAAAAAAAATCGTTTTTATCAGAATCATAAATCAAGATAACACGCGACGATGATGTTAAATTAGACTTGAATTAAAATATTTTAAAACGC